TTGGGCTAGCATCAAATAAGCATCACAGAAGCATTGAATCTCTTTTTTAGGCTTAATTTCACATTGGTTATGTAAATGGTGTTTTGGCTGCACAAAGGAAAGGCGTTTGCCCGTCACCAGTTGTGCAATGGGACTAAATGTGTGGTACTGACAACCTGTAGCAGAACAGAGTGGGACAGTCGCCACAGGACCTAGGAGTCATGCTAAAGTTTATGCTACGCTATCGCTAACCTGACTGGGAGTCAATGCTCACCCTTGTGCCGGTAAGGCCCCCGGGGTCCCAAGGTTGGATTTAGGCGTCCTCTTCGAGGCCTGTGAGGGAGGGGGGTGCTTGGGGGTGGGGTTACATGCAAGCGGCTGCACAGTATGATCTCAGTACACCGCCCACCCCGTCACGGCCCCCACCTTGCCTCTTCCTTTAATTTTGCATGAGGGACAATTTGTTTCCCTAACCCTCCCTGACCCAGGTGCTGGGGGCCGGCCGACCTGGAACGCCACTGTGCAGAACGTCCCTCCCCCGATAGAATCTCTGAACGACCTCCATCAAATGAAGCGCGGCCCGGTTTGCGTGCGTGCGTGTGAACCGTACAGAACGCTGCCGGGAGATAAGCCGTCTAACGATGTCACAGTTACGCTTGTAAGGAACGCTTTACATTTTTCTGCGCTGAACACTTTGACTAATATAGAGAAGACCAAATACAGAACTTTAAGTTTTGGGGAAGTACGTTTTTTTAATGCTATGTCCATACTGAGCCTAAAAGGGGCTATCAACAATTTTATAAGCCGGCACAATGCCATTTCATTCTATGATTCACTTCTGAATCATGAATGATCCTTATTTATTTGAAGTTTTTTTCTCAAAAGAAAAAAAAAAGTTGTATCCAGTTATATAATGCTTGCTCTGGAACTCCATGTCCTAATCTAAAGTTAATATAACGATGGTATTCACCGCAGAAAATCATCCTCTTCATTTTAACACCTGTATTAGCACACAGCTAAATCAACAAATTCGTTATATGTAATTCACCAAATTACTTTTCTTTTTCTTTTTTTTTTTTTGATCTTTGAGTGGACCGATTATTAACAAATAGCTTTGGACTGCAGAGTACCTTCCGGAAGGCTGTAAAATGGAAGCTATGCAAGGCACTTTAAAAGGGTGCAAAATGTACTGAAAATATAACATGGTGGTGAACACTGGCAATAAAAATGGAAGCATTGAAGAAGACTCACTGTAGCTGTCTTGTACAGTGCTTGTCTGTAACAGAGGGTAACATTTAAGAACAACACCAGAAAGAGTTCTTTATAAAAGCATAACATAATAATAGTTTTACATATAAAGCAGACTGAGATTTTGGTTAATTAGGTAGTATTCAGCTCAGGGTTGAGATTTGATCATGTGAATGAAAATGAACTTAAATGCCTTTTTATTCCTCTTGAGAAGGGAATTCACTGCTGGAGCAGAGGATTTAGAGCACCCCATCTGGACACACTCGGTATTACACCACACCTATTGTCTGCCAGTCAGGGAAAAAAATGTTTTCACAGAAAACAGCAGTGCAAAATAAGTATGCTTTTATATGCAAATAGCGTAAATTTGTGCCGTTTTAAGTTCTGTTCCATATGAATTAGCTGGGCGTGGGGCGTCTTGAGCGAGCGGGATGTAAGGAGTGACACCGGAGATGACATCGGCCCTGTCAGCTCAAACGGAAAGGGACTTTTGCATGGCACCGCTTCGGCGCTGAAACCGGAGCAGTGTCGCAACAAAGGAAAGCATGTTTTCCTTCTTGTGCTTCATCTATAATGGATCAAAGGTGTAGCGTTCGGGCTGTTTGCTCAACCAAATGTCACTCCTCCGAGGAATTCTACGCTAACCCATAAAAACAGCCTCAGCACGGGACATTTTAAAGTCCATTTCCAGCAGAAGCTTAATTTGAGTTCAAAGGCCCAAACTGGACATTACTACATTTGCATCTGCCCCCTCTAAGGCAAAATAACATTTCCTGCAACAATTATATAAGCTTCAAGTTCTACATAGAGGATGACACTGGTTGTTTCATTGTTTAAAAATATGCATGTAAATATCACCAAATAGCTATATTTAAAAGATGGGCCATAAATAAATAAATTAACACTGGAAAAAAGAAAAATTGGATTGGTGCTCCAGCACCAATCCAATTATGACACTTTCAAAATATAATTTATATATCCATTATAAAAGCATTACATGTAGCAAACGGAATAAGACCAGAACATACACGACATATAGAATATATATTCTCGTCTTCATCTGTTAGCAGATTTCTGTAGGAAGTCTACTGGTCCTCTAGAGCCTTTCCATGTAAATGTGTGAAATGATAATTATATATCTCCACATGGCTACCTCGTGGCGCAATCTGTCTCCGCCTGTGCCAGGAGGAGAAAGAGTCGCATGCTGGTTGCCAGTCACCCAGTAATGTTATTTTTATTTGGCTCAGGCTAAAGTAATGGTACCCCCACATACAGTCGAATAAAGAGTGCATGGAACAGAAGAAAAAAAAAAAAAACCCTGCCTTACACAAACATGGGGAATAAGAAAAAACAGGAGATTGAAAACATCTCAAAAGTGTCTGGGAAGGATCTCTAATCTGAGGCACATCTTGACATATTTACCTGTGCAGCAATTCTCTGGAGAAGTGTGTGCATGAGATGATGAAATCATTTGTGACAACCAAATTGCACGTTTCGGGTGATTACCGCTCACAGCACTTCACAGGGAGCTTTGTCCGGGTGCTCTCCTGGTGTGGCGGAATCGGTGACGGCGTTCCCGTGCTTTATTTTCCAGAGATTTCTGCAGCAATACGAGCGAAAGTCGAGCACCCAGCACAAACATGACCCACCCCTCTTCAAGAACAGTTATTACCAGACCTAATTAAATCAGCCCCCCCCCCAAGTATATATAAAGTGACATATCAAAATCTCACAATTGTTTAATTGTTTTTTCTTTCTTGCTAATTACAGGAAATAATGGATTTTTTTTTAGGTTTTCACCCAACGATGTTGGCTGTGTTGTGGGATAGATGCTAAATGGAGAGATCTCCTTGGGGTAGGGAGTGGGGGGGGGGGGGGGGGGGGGGAGTCTTGCTCAGAAAATGTACAGATGAACATGCATTAAATACCATATATCACGTTCAGTGCTTATTCTGGACTTATGACGAGTTTCCTTGAACAGTGAATGTCGGGGATTCCACGCTGGCCACCTATTTGATTTCATTATGGCGGCTCACGTGAATATGTGAGGCCTCTCACAGCATTGGAGTTGTCATGGAGGTCCCTACTGTTAGGAAGAGCCAAAGAAGATTTGGATCTTGGGCATAGAACTTGACACTTTTAAAAAACAAGCTTGTTGGCTTAATTATATGAGGCACAGATTCTCTCCACGACTTCTGGAGAGGACGTCAGCGATTAGGCCCTGCTTGGCTGATGTAGATGTCAGCATGACTGGTATCACTGACTAGACCATGACGACTTGCTTATCATTTCACCATCAGGGTGACAGTCTCAGGTCTTCCATTATCAGTTTAGCCCCTGCTGGGGGGGGGGGGGGGGCGGGGGCTGAATCCCACAAGCTGAATGTCTGTGGTCGGCTGGCTTATTACCATGGGACTGGCCTTGCCGTAGCACATTACACTGATAGACTTTATATAGTAAAACAACTCTCACGGGAAGTAGCATGGCTAATTATACTCTGTTGATTTCATGTCCTTATTCTGAAACCATACCTAGACCATATATTTATTTCAAGTCTGAGTTCATGAGGTACATACCACCCCCCCCCCCCGAAAAAAAAACAACAAAAAAAAAAACATGCACCCACTGACCCACCCAACAACAGCTTCAACAAAGGTTGGGGATGCGCGCGATGCTAATATGACAGGCGTATGCTAATGATTACTTATATCTAAAATCTGTCTCCAAGGTGCCGAAACAAACAAAAGTGCAGGACAGAGCCTTGGAGCCTGGAAGGCCAGGGGAGGACAGCTGAGGCACGGCGCTGGGGTGGCACGCGCTGGATGGGAAGGGCCGAAGACGAGAGCAAATGAGAGCATGGACGGTAAGACGCGCGTTTTACCTGTTTGGCTGCACAGAAGCGCACTGATACCGTTTCAGTCCGCAGTGTCACCACTGGTGAAACATCACAAATAACTGCAATAATTACAGTATCACACTTTCCATACTATGGTGATTCAGTAGCGGGAAATTATATTAATGATTAAAATGTACCGTTGCATAAAGGTGCTGGTGTTAGTAGATACTTCAGGATTGCATTACAGAATATATTATCTGTGCCCTGCAGATTAGCTTCAATTATTAATTAACTGTTTTCATTTTAAAAATTCAGTTTGCTGATAAATTCAACAACAAAGTGCACATAACCTGTAGACCCGGTTTTTGAATATATAGTTAGATGTTGGTTTCAGATTTTGTTATTTTGAGTATTTATTTTCAGGCATCCACATGCAGAGAAGTTTATTTTTGATTTTATTTTGCTCCTTGCTATTAAAAAAGTATTAATAACAAAAATAATGTTTATCACGTGGCTATTTTTGTTATACCCAGATGCATTATCCATACAGTGCAGTAAACAGGCAGCAGAGCCACCTGCTTTGAACAATACCTATTCTGTCAGAGTTCCACACGGAGCGATTTCATCCTTCGTCAAGGCTGGTCTGAATGAACCATGAATATTAACATCACGCGCATCCCCAACAGTTAAAAGGGAATACTTACAGAACCCCAACATATCCATGAACAAATAAGTTTGGACTAAAGACATTTTTCATTTAACATCTTTATTAGTGATCAATACAATTAAAATAATAGGTGACATTTTGTGATTGTTGTTTGGTAAAATGAATACAGTACAGTGCATACATTTCTAAAGTTTCAAAATTGGTAAAAAAAAATGGTATTATTCTTAAACACAACAAATATTATAAAGCATAAATGTAACCTGTTGCTTTTCCTGCATATAGCTATGTCCTGCATGTATCCTTACTATACAGTATGTCTTGTCTGCTGATCTGATTATAAACAGCCATTAACTGTTATACATGTACACTGTAACGTCGCGCTTTGCTCAGACGGAAAAGACAGCACGTCTTTGCTTTCGAAAACTAATCGTCTGTACTAGATTGGACAAGTTCCCTAAAATTTTATAGGGTAAAATATACTTCGGGTTCAATTCATATATTTAATGAAATTGCCTAAGATCCCATGATTTTTAAAGTTAAGCAAATTAAAATAATTCTTAAAAAATCTAGGCTACTTTTCATATAAACTATATCAACTCAAGACCAAACGTTTCATGTAACTGCCTGCATATTCGTCGACTACGTTCCATTATATCGTGATTTCATTTTTCCATTTCGCGTACGAAATCATTAATCGTGGGCAGCAGTCATGAAATTGCTTGCTTACTTTTCATACGCCCACGGCAGCAAATCGCGCAACTTCGTGCGCAGTAAATATGGGAAGTACAGTGGGATCCTGGGTCCATTCAGACGTTACCCGTATTCCGGCCACATGGACTTGAGATAATAAGGCATTAGTGAAGCGCTTCTGTCATTAAAATAGTTGGTGGCCTGAGCCCGCCCCCTTTCAAAAGAGCCAAACTGATTATTACAGCCTGCGCTTGAACAGGGTGAGGGGCATACGCTGCTGGGATTGTGGGAGAGAGCAGGATCGGTCCTCATCCTCATCACCAGCGACCATTCCTCCGGTTTAATCCTGCCTTCCTCGCCGGAGCGCAGGCTGTCGCCACCTCGGCATCCACCGGCAAAACGAAAGACTGGTCCTGATATCATTTCAGCCTCTGCTTTTTCCACGCCACTCACTTGAGGTTCGTTTTATGCCGTGCAGGATTAAGTGAGGTTTTTTCTTTCTTTCTTTCTTTGCGAGAGGTTTTTTTTTCTCGCTTTGCGAAGAAGACTTTCTCCCCCCCCCCAGACTGAACAGTTTCAGCTGGTCGAGACCCCCGCAGGAACGACCGTGGCAGCTGACACTTACCAGACTGCTTAAGATACATACAAAATAAAGTAAGTAACGAGCCCCGATTGTTAATTCCACATGCTGGATCTTATGACTTATGAACTAGGTGTTGAGAGGATTAGACAAGTCTGAGGCATTGAAGGACCAGCCAAGTCTGACACAGGTGAGATGTTTGCCTTTTTGACAGCGAGGTCGTCGCTTTGTATTATATACATGCAACTTATGAGCTGTTTTTATCTTTAATAGTGTCATTGCCGAAAAAAAAACCCGGATTCCTTTAACTGGAGCAGTTAGACATCGGCGGCTGTACGCGACTCTTGGGTGTCAGTCGGGAATAGAGGTCGTACTTGTAATTATTTTTTTATTGTCGTTTCCTATTGTGCTTTCATTTGCAGTACTTCTTTGAAAACAGTTCGTCGCCGAATGTTCATAATGACTAAAAATAATTATTATAATAAATACAAAAACATTTTATACTCGGTGAACCGGGTCCGCTTAACAGCTTTGAAAACTTTGTAGTGCTTTATGCGATGTGGTGCCGATACGAAATAAAAGGAAAAGTTAGCGTAACTAAGAGCTGTTGTCCATAAAAGGGGATCAAAATACCGACATTAATTTCTGTTCCTTGTTTTACGCGTTTGCCTATTTAACATAAATTCGGTACGGTATGTTGGCTAATGTAGCCAAAAAAACTGACATACTTAGAATATTTAAAACAATTGTTTATCTACAAAATTATAATAATCGATAAGCTCTATGTTAGGGTTTTTTCCAGGAATTTGATGTGTTCCATATACGCTTTTGTTTCTTGTTGTTGACCTACTTGAATTTTTTAATGCGTTCATGAAAGCTAAAGAAGGATCCTATCAGCGCATGTTGTTCCTGGTAAGAACAAATAATTATGCATTCAAAAAAGTGCTTTTATGAATAAATACGAACGCCAAGCAGCCATGGCGTGCGGCCAATATTTCACTGTAAGTCTATGGAGAATTACCCTGGCAAATACCGGCTTTGCAGCCTGAGCCGGCAGGACCTGATGGCATATTTAATGACGGCAATTGCAAGAACTGAAGTCAGTCTGTTTTCCTACTCGCTTTAAATTTGACTTTTTCTGACCAGCACTTCCAGGGAGAAATGTCACTAGCTATGTCGTTGCTGGCAGTATGCATTGTGGTTGCAGAATAAAGATGTTTGTATGGAGGATAATAAGCACAATCCCCGGAGGTTTGGCGGAGTATGAGCACCTGTGAACCAATATCTGACAATTTACGAGTTGTAGATAACTTACAGTATATGGAGTTCGTCCTGCTGTATAGCCTTGGGTAGAAGCTGAAAAAACAACCAAGTGAGGTTTTTTTGCTTTATTACGTTTACACTGGATCTAGTGCTGTTCTGGTCCGTGTGAGATCTGTTTTTAAATGAAAGCAGTTTCATTAAACAGTTGAGTCATTTTATGGGGGAATAGGGGGGGCGTGAAAGATTGCTCCATTGATTTTTCTAATGTAAGATTACGACAACATTAAGGTTTTATTACGGAAAGCAGACGAGAGAAAATGAGACCATTTATGGGCTTTCAGGTCTGGAGAAGTTGAGCTCCGCCGCGGAGTCACTCCGTGCGAAACAAAGGCGATCCCATCTTTTGTTTTATTTTCACACTTTCATGAACTGCTTATCCAAACGGCGATTTCACTGTGAATATCTGATATAACAGGATATAAAATCTCACCCTCTAAAATCACGTGGGCCTATATGAGTCATTACAAATAGTTATAATAACATATTCATATTCATATTCAAAAATGCAGTTTTAAAAGTTTCGTGACTTTGGTTTAAATCGGATCAATATTTAAGATTTCCTGCTAAATCCTTGGATGGTTATTATTAGCCTATGTCGTTATCAGCCTGTACACTATTGCAAGAACACGACAGGAAGGTAGGCGCTTTTATCTGCGTTTTAACACTATTGCTTTGCTTAATAACCAGCGATCGCGCTCAAAATAGACAGGGTTTAGTACCGTATTGACTGTCGACCCTATAAGACTTACTGCACATTAATCTGTTTAGATGTAAATTAAACACACAGTGGGCTCCTCTGTGCCCGAAACGCCCTAATCCCAGAGTCACGTTAAAACTTTCCGTCTCTCCCCGAGACCTGTCGCCTTGGGTAAATCACGGCGGATTTCGCCCTTGCGATTCACAAAACCCGACAAGCGACAACCGTGTCTCATTTGCCTCACAAAGACGGGATTAAGGTGGTCCCACGTGTCACCGTGATGGGACATGTTGTCGGGGCATGGCGTGACATCCAGGTGATATTTATAAAGCGGGACAGGCGCGGCTTGCTGCTCGTTCTGCGTCAAGTGTCACTGACACCAGGCTCACCTCCTCTGAAAGCTCTTTTATGGTGTCCAGGTTCATCCCTTCATTTATGGCCTCTGCCCTGCTTTAGGGCATATTTGCTGATCCCGTTTCATGGATTCAAATTGGTCTTGCTGACAATAGATAGATTTTTATATTGACAGATTTTGAACCCTATCATTCCAAGATCTCAAATTATATCAAGAGTACATATCCAGCACTCCAAAAGAATTTCTGTGCCACCTGTTTCAATATCTCTTCAGATGCAGGCCCAGTTGACTGCTAATGTCTGTTAAATTCCTATTAGGATACTGAGGTTACAGATCATAAAAATACTCGTATTTTTGCATGCTGGAATTGCAAGACCAGGGAGACAGGCAGAAAATGAAAAGCACGAATTGGATGCTTATGGACTTGATGGGCCCTGTGGCAGTTAAGTTTGAAATAAGCTAGCAGACTCCTTCGGGGCTGATCTAACTCTATGGGTTTCATTACAAGGTTGCTTCAGCTCGCAAACAAAGTACTTGCAGTCAGACATCTGTCCACGAGACTCACTATATGTGTCACGTTATCAATTGTCATGTATTTTATGCAAACTGTTTTTACATACCAGAACTTAATGTCAGTTTTGTAGTTTAGTATGGTTTTATACCAAGTCCTGAATTATTATAACTTTTTATTTTAGCTATGATTACTTTTAATCATACAGCCCAAGATATTCAAGTTGGCTATATTTTAACAATTATTTCATGCAGTACAGCTATTGTTTTATATATGGGTGTTATCTATAAATTGCTGAAAGTAGGTATCAAATTATTATTGGGACATTTTACCCCAGTAATAGGAAATGCTTACATAGCAGGTCATCTAACTCACAAAGTGTGGTGATTTGTATTCAATACATTGGATAATAACCATCCGTGTTTACATGACCTGCAAGGGATCAACAAGAGGAGATTTACAGTCTGAACGTCACCATCTTCATTGTCTGCTTTTCAAAAGAGAAGTCTTCGCTCCAGAGCCTTTGTTGTTTTTCAATGGTAAATATACACAAGTACATTCATATTAATATGCAACTTAGCGCAGCACCCTGGCTGTCTCTATCTAGTAATTAACGGTGACGTTCAATAAGTTGTTATTTCTGCTGTAACTGGAGGAGAATGCGGCAGACGTAATCACCCGGGTATTTCACATCGCAGTGGAATATATCAGGCTTTGATGTTTGATTGTAATTGTAAAAACATATTTCAATATATTTGCATATAATTTGGTGCTCTCGGTATGTGTGTATTTGTGAGTGTCTCTGTGCGATTACGTTGTTTCGTTCTTTTTTTTTTTTCCCTCTTTCTTCTTTCTTTCTTGGAAGGGAAAGAGGATATGATGTCGTGAAAGATACCGCCGTCTGGCAAGCGTAGTTTAGAAGCCAGGGTTAGGGATCCCACAGAGAGAGGCCAGGCAGACAGGCTATGTAGTGATCTGTCGGGGTGGAATGGAGCTCAATTTTGTGAGTTAGATTACTGCCCCTCCCACCCCAAACCTCAGATTTAGGCTTAAGGCAAAGTTGACAGTTACAGGTCCTTGCATGTACGAGATCTCTGAGGACTTCAAACATTGGTCAGTCCCACTGCCACTACATCAGGTGACACTGGTGACATCCAGAAGAGGGTCTGAGTCAATGAATGGCACACGCTCCTTCCCGCTTTCGCTCGAGGCACCTAAGACATTTCTTGGGATTGCAATTCAGCCAATGCACTTACAACCTTGTACATACTTTTTTTTTCTTTTCCAATGGACATGACAGTGACCGGGTGTGACGTGTGCAGAGACCGGGTGTGACGTGTGCAGAGACCGGGTGTGACGTGTGCAGAGACCGGGTGTGACGTTTGCAGTGACCGACTCACGGGATAAGCTGACCACTTGAATATAACCATATTTGGTCACATCTGAGAAATCTCATGAGATGACCAGAAGCAATCATTACAGGTAAAATGTAGAAAAGAAATATTTGCGAGACCACAAAAATTTAAACATCCTTACGCTCAAAGTAATTGTATTTTGCTTTCATTGTTATTTTTCCAGACTTTACCCTATTTCCTCGCCTGCATTTTGTCGTGGAAGACCAGAATTTAGTAATTTACGCTACAGTCCCATGTTTTTTTTTTAAATAAATACTTTAATGCTGATGAAGCAAAGATACACAAAACCAAAAGTAAATAACACTCCAGCATCTGTAAAAAAAACAAGATTTAAAAGCTGGAAGGATCTAGTGGACCGCTCATGTGTGGTACGAGAAGAGAGCAGAATGCCTTTGACACCTTGTGCGTCTTTCCTCCTGTCCTCACCTCTCCGTAAACGTCGGGCTGGAACGCCTCGCGGCCTGTGACGCCGAACACTGGGCCGGCTGTGCTGCCCCGGCGTGGCGGGAGGGGGGGCCCAGGGTCACTTCATGGTGGGGCACTTTCTTTGGCACCTTTGGACATTGCCCAGAACCCAAATATTTTCCAGCAAATGTAATTTATCTTTGTCACCAAAGCAAAAAAATAAAATGGTCGATTCACCCTATAGCATCATCCGGTGCATGGGACATAGTGAAGGGCTCTTTATGCTCTTGTAGTGATAATCTAATACGTTTCCCCAAAATGTGTACTTAAAGAGGGTATTTTTAGCAGGCCAGATTCTGCATTTGGCT